TATATATATATATATATATATATATATATATATATATATATATATATTTGTTTAGTTTTGAATTAGTATGTGGGAAATGCTTAGAACAGCATTTGGTAAGTCCAATATGAGCATTTGAGATATTGATATTATTTTCTGCTCATATACACATTTGGAAGAAACACAGCAGATCTGTTAAGAACTGGGGATCTGAATCCAAGGAGAGTGGGGACTAGACTAATAGCGTCCTGCTTGGAATGGAATCTTCCTGACTAGCAAAGTGGACAGAGGCAAGCTGTGGGACCTGACAGAGGACACGGCAACCACATGCCTGGGCTGGGTGGACAGTGTCTCTGCCAGCAGACTGTGAGAAAGGAGCCGTCTGAGCCCATGGGCTTCTTCAGCCTGGTCTCCTGGGGCCGGTAGGAGCAGGGAAGGACCAGGATTAGTCCAAACTCTTTGGACTTACAGATCTGATCCCACAGCGCTCTGGGGCCAACCGGCAGGAGAGAAAGGTTCCAGCAGGGCTCAGGGGACTTACAAACTGGCCACGGGGATTAGTGAGGCTGAAAAGAACATTTGCCTAGGAAGGAAAAACGGGAAGTGAGAGGCCGAGGGTAACTCTCTTATCAGTCCCTAGGGACTCAAGTAGACCAATGAGGGACCAGAGGAGGTGGTGAAGTCTGGGGCATCTTGACAGGTCCTTGGTTCCGCCTAACCCCTCCTCACTCCGAACCAGCTGCCCCGCCCCTGCCTTCTGTAGGCTTCCATTGGCTAGAGCTAGGGGCCCGCCCCACAAAGGTCGCTTGCCATTTGCTGAGGTCTCTGTTGTTTGCGTGTTTGTGGGGGCGGAAGACACGCGTCATTCCCTGGAACCTAGGGACTTCCTCTCTCTGCTTGTCTGGGTCAACTTGTCTGTCCATCGCTGGCCCATCGCTCCCTGGCCCTCTCTCTCACTCTCAGCAGCTGTCTCTCACAGGCCCACTGCCCTGCCTTTTCTTTCCCGCTATTGCCTCCTGCTCCGCCTGCCTGGGTGGCCGCCATGGGTCGGAAGCGGCTCATCACTGACTCCTACCCTGTTGTGAAGAAGAGGGAGGGGCCGCCTGGGCACAGCAAGGGGGAGCTGGCACCGGAGCTAGGTCTCTGAAATGTGGGGGTGGCAGGAAGAATGGACATGCAGGGATCAGAAAGATCTCTCTCCCCCGTCTCTCTTCGTCTCTCCCTCTCTCCCTGTCTCTCTTTCCGTCTGTCTCTGTCCTCTCTCTCTCTGTGTGTGTGTGTGTTTGTGTGTGTGTGTGTGTGTGTGTGTGTGTGTGTGTGTGTGTGTGTGTGTTGGCTAGAAGGGGAAGCTAGTATGTCTTGCACTTCCGATGAGCTGCCTGGCTGCAGGATGGCAAAGGCAAATGAGTGAGGAGATAGCCAGGATAAGTGCCGCAGGGCAAAGGCCTCGATGGGACTGAGGCGCCCCATATTATTGTAGGGGAAGACATCCAGACCCTCAGCCAGGAGGAAGCAGAGCTGGAGCTGCTGAGGCAGTTTGACCTGGCCTGGCAGTATGGGCCTTGCACAGGTGAGAAGCCCGTTTCCAGCCCCTGCCATCAGGCACCTCTTTGAACCAGTTCTGGCATCGATGTGTCTAGAAATAATGCAAGTGCCTGCCTAACTCTTGAATCCTGTCTCCACAGACAGACATGTGGAGGGTCAAGAAGATGCCCTCTGTACTCCCCAGCCTGGACTCTTCTGCCTGTCCTGAGTCTTCTTTCCCCCTGGCAGGTATTACACGGCTGCAGCGCTGGCATCGGGCAGAACAGATGGGCTTGAAGCCCCCCCTAGAAGTGCACCAGGTGCTGAAGACACACCCTGAAGACCCCCGTTTCCAGTGCAGGTCAGGACGGGCCTGGACAGCTGTCAGGGGGACTGGGGCCTTCTCCAGGAGTTGCCCCCGCCCCTCTGCATAAGGGCTGCCTTGACTTGAAGAAATGGGCACAGACTTAGGGGGTCCTTCCTAACAAGCAAGAAGGGTCTTCTAGGTGCCTGGCACAAGGCAGATCCCTATAATGATCCTCACCTCTATGCACTAACGGTGGGGGAAGAGTATTTCTAGGGGCCATGGAGCTCTCTCTGAGTACTGAGGTGTTCACAAGCCATAGAACCGCACACAGTAGTTAAGAACTGGTGAGAGTACATCAAGGAATAGAACTAACTTGGCTATGCGTTTCTTCCCCCACCCTGTCCTCCACAGCCTCTGGCATCTCTACCCACTCTGAGGCACCACCTAGACTGTCCTTCCCTTGGCACCTCCTAGCCACCAAGAACTTGAGGACAGACATCATGACCAGCAGATGCTGCTCTGCCCAGCTTGGCTCTGGAGAAACAGCAGGCTAACTTTGGAGGTCCTCCTGGATCAGCCTCCAAACAACAGCTCCTGAAGCTCCTGGGTCCTGTACAGATGAAGCCAAGTACCTCTAGGGCCTAATCATGACCACCAGATTAGACCACCAGGTCAGACTCCCACACCCTCTCTGACCTATGATGTGGCAAATCCAACACAGTCTGGCATAAAGCAAGATGTAGGCAGATAAGCTAAAAGGCCCACCTCATGCTGGGCATCCAGCTGAGGGCATAACTGCCTGAGCTCTTGAATCAAGGAGCTCATAAAGGCCTATAATAAAGTACTTTAAGCCTGAAATCCTGACCTTTAGTCCCTTTTATGGTCCTATTGTAACTCAGTTCCCAAAAGGAGAGTAGACAGGGGAGCCAGCTACAGGCTCTTTTGTTACCTGCCCTTTGGGGGGTGGGGAGTTCAAGACAGGGTTTCTCTGTGCAGACCTGGCTGTCCTGAACTCACTCTGTAGACTAGGCTGGCCTCAAATTCAGAGATCTGCCTGCCTCTGGCTCAGAGTACTGGGATTCAAGGGAGTTCTGTTTTTCCTAGAACTCACTATAAACAGGTTGGCCTCTATCTCACAGACACCCACCTGCCTTTGTCTCTTGCTGAGATTAAAGGCTTGTGTGTCACCACCAGGCTTCCATAACTATCTTTCTAAGGAAGTCTTTTCAGAAGCTGAGATGGCCTCTGGTGTCCCCTGGTAGTACTTAGAAAACCACTCTAAGTCACCTTCCCAGACCAGCCATGGAAAAACATGCCTGATATGCCAGCTATGAGCAGCTGTTACGTTTCTGGCACCATAGGTCCCCATAAGGTGTTACTAGCACTGAAAATATAGGCAAAACAAACATGAAAATTAGTTATGTCATGTGGTGGTCAGCATTAAGTAAAAATAAGGTGAGGGGTTTGTAGGGGGTCAGAGAATGTCAAGGTGATATTTTGGAGGAGTCAGACAGGAAGAGCCCCATAGTACGGTAGCATTTGAAAAGAAACAAAAGGAAGTAAGGGAGAGAAGGCTCATATCTTTGTAAATGTTTTAGACAGAAAGAATGACAAGGAGAAAGGCTCAGTGGCAGGGACATTTCCAAACTGTTCACATAAGAACATGAAGATCAGAACACAGGGGACAAGGGGCAGAAGGGAATGAGGCCAACAGGTAGCAGGCTGGTCCCATTGGATGTTGTAGACCATGATAAGAAATCTGGATTTTACAGTGAGTGAGAGGAGATATAGATGGCTTTGAGGAATGACATCATTGAACTGATGTTTTGAAAATATGACTGCAGCTGTGGGTGGAAACAGTCTGTGGAGTTGGGGAAGCAGACAGGTGGTGAAACCGCTCTGCTTGGCAGGCTAATGAGACCTGCCTGAAAAGAGGTGACAGTGATGTCATTTGAAGTAGGGTGGGGAGATGGAGCTGGTAAGAAGTGGCCAGATTTTATTTTGAGGGGACAACTGACCACTAGGAGTTGCTGATCTTGACAGGGATTTAAGGGACAGGAGCCGAGGATGACTTGGCTTGAGTGGCTGGAAGATCAGGTAGCCCATAGAAGATAGGGAGGACTGTGGGAAGAGGAGAGTAGGAAGGGAAACAAGAACAAAGAGCTCTAGATGTTTTGGCTTCGGGGGAGGGGGGTTACTGTGGTGGAACCTGGGGTCTGGCCTACAATAGGCCAGTGCTCTATGACTGTGCTACACCCCCCCCCCCCCAGTCAATGTTATATTTGAAGTGTTTGCAGTGTATCCCAGGAAGTGTAGGCGGAGGATATGGTAAATCTGGAATTCTGTAGAGGTCTGGATTTGAGATATAACTTTGGGGAACTTTCAAATAGCATTTAAGGTGACAAGAATGAGCTGGGCACAGTGCTGTTCACGTGGAATCCAGATACCCAGGGACCTGACTCGGGAAATTTCAAAGCCAGTCTGGCAACACAGGAAGACCTGTCTCCAAAAAGTTCCCAGCACTCAGAACACAAAGACAGACAGATCTCTGTGAGTTCAAGGCCAGCCTGGTCTACATACAGAGTTATAGGACAGTTAGGGCTACACAGAGAGACCCTATCTTAAACAAACAAAGGAACAAAAAAGCAAGTCCATCAATCAATCAGTATATCAGTATATTAAGCATATACAGCACACATCTGTAATCCCAGCACTCAGGGAGGCAGAGGCAGGCAGATCTCTGTGAGTTCAAGGCCAGCCTGGTCTACACAGAGAAACCCTGTCTTGGAAAAACAAACAAACAAACAAACAAGAGTATTAAAGAGAAGTGGGATCCCAGGACAGCCCAGCTCTGCACTTAAGCCAGAGAGATGGGAGAATGGCGCAAAGGAGATGGAGGTGGGGGCATCCTGCTGAGACAGTGGAGGGCCAGGTGAGGCCTGGCAGGGAGTCCCAACCTTTAGGTGTTTCCAAGAAGCTGGTAAAATGCAGTCTGAGAGGGTCCTGCTGGATTCGGCCACACAGAGGTCCCCGGGGAACTTTGGTGAGAACAGCTTTGTGGTGTGATGGTAAGAGCCTGCCTGAACGGGAAGCAGGGAGCTTGTCAGTTTTGGTTTGTTTTTCAGAGGGAGGAAAGATTTATTTTGGCTCATGGTTAAAGGCAGTATTATGCTAGGGGAGGGACAGTGGAGTAGCAACTCTGCCTCTAACTCTGAACCGTGTGGAAGAACAATCTGGGGTGCCTCACAGACTCCATGCTATCCTATCATTCCAATGTTAGTATATGTGCTGCTGAAGTGAGGAACATGTTTCTTTGAGGAACATTTTACTGTAAAGGAGTGCGGACTGGAGTGCTAGCTAGAAAGGGATGAGTTCAAAGGAAGTTTGTTTTTTTCCTTTGTTTTAGATAGAGTAGCATAGCAGCTTAATTACACAGTGTGAACAATCAGAGTGGTGCCCCCAGGACAGGATGTGATGCAGTTGGGAGTGAGGTCATTGTTAAGGTCATGAAAGCTGGAAACTCTAGATAAAATCTACTGTGAGCCACGTGGAGTAGGTATGGGAGGGGAGGTCTTGAGGGGTGAGGATACTGGAGGAGCAGATGCACACTGAGGGCCTGGCACTGCTGGGCGGGGTGGCATGTTTGCTGGATGCCTATCCTGCTGTGCTGAATACTGCATTCATGTCACCAGCTGAGGCCTGAGAACAATCTCATTAGGTAAGTACTGTCTACGCTTTACAGATAAAGAAACTGAGGCTGAGAGGGAAAATGCTCTGCCCAGCCAGCAAACAGCAAAGCCAGCCTTCACAGCTGTCCCGCCAAGCTAGCCAAACACCTGCACTCCAGATGTTTAAGGACTTGATGAGATAAGGCCTACATATGGGGGAAATTTAAGGGGGAAAAAAATCCCTCATGTAATACAAGTGCTGCCCCCAGGCATCCTAGGAGTCTAAAGACACAGAGGTGCCCCGTTCTCAGGAAGCAGACAACATCTGGGGTAGGGGTGTACAGCAACTAATCTGCAGAAGCCTCCAGGGCACATGACCCCTCCTGCTGCACTGGTTACCCTGCTAGCCCTCATCTGTACCAAGCCTTTGGACTCACAGTGTCCCTGCTTCTTAGATCTTCCACTCTAGAGTTTCTGAGTAGTCTCAGTAGTGTTGTGTTTTGTCATTTTTAAATTTGCCAATTTTACATTTGACTCCAGACTCTGGTGATATGTCTGGAGTAGCCATTTTAACATAAAAATAAATGAAAACCCTTTAGGAAGACATGTGTGTAGCCTTGGAAGCCTCTGACACCTATCACAGCCTAGGTGGTCTGAGAAGCACTGTATAGCAGGGTATGAGCACTCACCCAGAGGAGATGGGCCTGTGGGCAAGACTGCAGGGACATTTTCTTGATTAATATTGACACGGAAGAGCCCAGCCCACAGCAGGTGATGCCATCCCTGGGCAAGAGGTCCTGAGGTGTATAAGAAAGGAAACTGAGCAAGCGGGAGGATCAAGCCAGTAAGCAGCATTCCCCTATGGCTTCTGCTTGAGTTCCTGCCTTCAGGTTCCTGCCTTGCTTGAGTTTCTGCCCTAAATGCCCTCATTGGTGGACTGTTACCTAGAAGTATAGATGAAATAAGCCCTTTCCTCCTCTGGTTACTTTTGTTCATGGTTTTTGTCGGAGCAATAAAAATCAAACTAAGACAGGGAGCATGTGTGGTCAGAGTGATGTGTGCAGTCTATGCCATGTGTATTGTAGTACTCGGTACTTTTGGCAGCACAACCAAAAGCATCCAGTGGGCTGGAAAGATGGCTAAGCAGGTGAAGAGTACTTGTTGCTCTTGCAGAGGAGCTAGCTTTGGTTCCTAGCACCCATATGGCATCTCACAAACGCTCGTAACCCTAGTTCCAGGGGCCCTCACACCTTCTTCTGGCCTTTGCTGGCACCAGGCACACGGGACTACACATGCATCATGCGTACACACAGGTGCAACATAGGAAGGAAGGAGAAAGCCAGCAGAGGTACTTACGTGTCTAGCAGCACCGGCCTGTGTGCATTTTATCTTACAGCTACTCTGGACATGGCTATAATGCCTATTACACAGGGACAGTGAGGAAGTGGCTCTGGGCAACATGGCATGTGAGATTTGATCCTAGAGTTCAGCTCCAAGCCTGTCTTCTTTGCTATATATGATAAAGCCAAAGAGGCAGGCTGGGACCAAGAAAGGGCTCTTGAGCTGGACTGTATCTATGATAATGAGAGTGCCTGAAGGTTTCTAGGCAGAAGAAACAAGATCAAGAGAGCCATCCTGAAAAGTCTGTTCAGCCAGGTATGAAGGAATGAAAGAAAGATTGTCAGTCAAGGTGTTTGGCACACACTTTTAATCACAGCATTCAGGAGGCAGCTGCAGGCGGATTTCTGTGAGTTCAAGGCTTGCTTGGTCTATATAGCAAGCTACAGGATAGCCAGGGCTATATAGAGAAACCCTGTCTAAAAAATGAAAGGGAGGGTGGAGGGAGGGAGGAGGGGGAGTAATAGTGCAGGGAGAAAGATTAAGTAGGAAGCTATTAAATATTCAAGACATGGAGTGCTAAGACCTTGGATTAACAGGGACAATGGGAAGGACAAAGACTGTTGTAAAGGAAGTTGGCAAAGACTAGTATCTGGGAATGGAAGAGCAGGAGAAGGAGCCAGATCTGACTCAGTGTCTAAGTTTGGGTGGTGAAAGAACGCTGAGGCCATGAGCAGAAAAGTAGAGATGGGAGGGGGCCAGCTCAATTTTACACATGGTCAGTTTGAGGTGATGGTAGCTATCTAGAGGGAAAACTTGGCTGGCGATGGAAACAGAGTTCAAGTCCAGAAGAGAGGACAGGGAGGGGATGACATCAGAGGCAGGAGAGACTCACTTGCACAGAAGTGACCACTGACCCCAAGAATATGGGACAAATCTTCTGAGACTAAAGGGACGGGAAAATGTGGGATAAAGAAACCAAAGATGGCTTTCAGGAAAATTCTCTTTAGAGTTAAAAGAAGATCCAGCCAACCAGAGACGAAAGTCTTAGATGGCAGAAAGACTGGCAAGGCAGTTGCAGTCAGCTGCATAGCTACCCAGACAGGTGCTGAATCCCCCTCCTCTGTTCTTGCTTTGCACTTCTATTTGGGCTTTCTCAATGTCACGGTAATGAGGAGGACCACACTGACTCATTCTCACTGATTCAGGTGTGGCGGCATTCATCCACCCTCAGACCATGCTGCCAGCCAGGGCAAGCCTGATGGGAGGGCCCCACAGAGGCTACCTGAGAACTAGACAGATGAGCCCACAGCAGGGTTCGAGTGATTGTAGACCATGTGCTAGGTCTTAGGTCCTTTTTGGGCCCAAGTTTGTAACCTGAAGGAAAAGGCATCTTGTTCTAACTTTGAAGCTACCTCCGATACCACACTATGAGGTACTGATGGCTTCTCTTGCTGGCTCAAGCCCTTCCTGCACCCTGTTTTTCTCTCTGTGAAGCTTTGCCTAATTGAGCTAAGGATCCCTTGGTGCTCCCTGTGGTGGCCTGTTTGTTATGGCATGTCACATTAGGACAACAGTCCATGCCACTTTCCTCACTGCTAGAGAGGATTTGATCTTTGCCCCCATACAGCAGGGTCCATTCTATGGTGACAACCTTCCCACTTCATGTTCACATCTGTTTCTGGTCTGTTTGTCCCTCTAGCCTGTGAAATAATTTACAATGTGAAGGCTACTCCTAAACCTTAATGAAACCTAGGCTCTACCTAAATCACTCCTCTGTCAAGTTCAGAGGCAGACCCTTTCCTGTTTGTAAGCCAGGGCCTCCAGGGGCCAGCCTAGTCAGCGCAGCCTAGCCAGATCCACTGAGGGACAGAGTAGAGACAGTCATCCTGTCAGGAGCACTTGGCACTGTCCAGCTTTCTCTCCAGGTCACTGGCCAGGATCCCACCGTTTCAGTCCCACACTGCAGCAGTGCAAACTTGTCCAACTCCACGGATATTAGTTTGACAGCTTTCATTGAAATCATAAGTGCAGATATATCCCTTTCTATCTCTCTCTGGAAGCCGATCCTGCAGGCCCATCTGTATGTGGGAAATACCGGTCTATGGTTACTGATTGACACTCTTTCCAGCGGGGAAGTTTAAGTACCTGGTGGATATAAAACTGCACAAGTTCCACAAAGTTCTTCATGAACTGACTTATTTGCTTTAATTCTAAGACATATAGAGAATGGAGGGAAAGATCTGTAGAAAAGTTTGCATTTGAGGAAAAATATAAGGCTAAACGTGGATCAGTAGTAAAATATGTGTTTAAGTATGTGTAAGGTCCTGGACTTGATCCCAGGACTATATACATGCTCACACATTCTCTCTCTCTCTCTCTCTCTCTCTCTCTCTCTCTCTCTCACACACACACACACACACACACACACACACACACAATTTGTTTTATGCATACAGTATCTCTAAAAAGGCACCCAAGAAATTTATGCCACTAGGGCTAATAGATGGCTCAGTGGTAAAGGCACTCACCACCACACCTGATGATCCTCATGACACACAGAGTGGAAGAAGATAACTAACTCACAAATTGTCCTCTGACCTCTACACATGCACCATGCAAATGTCCCCAACACCACTAAAAATAAATGAATGTACTTAAAAGCAGAATTTTATAATATTAATTGCCTTTGACAAGAAGGTAATTTGCGCCTTAGAAGTTAAGAGTAAGCTGGGCACAACTGCACACACCTGTAATCCCAGCACTCAAGGAGCCGGAGGCTGGTGGATTTCTGTGAGTTCAAAGCCAGCCTGATCTACTCAGTGAGTTCAGGCTAGCTAGGCCCTGTCTCAAAAAAAAAAAGAAAAAATTAATTTGAGTAGTAATTTTGGATTATTTAATTAAATTACCTATTCAGTCACTCAAGTAAAAAAAAAAAAACATGCAAGTTCATGCCTATATATTTAAGGAATGTTAAAAAATAATAGAAATACCCAGGGTTGATGAAACATACCTATAATCCCAGCACTTGGAAGGTGGAGGCAGGAGTATCCAGAGTTCAAGGCCAGCCTCAA